AATATTGTGTACAATCCAGCAACCGTTGCAGTACATCTCTCCATTTATTTTTTTTCTTGCTCAATTTGCCTTTGTAGCTCTTCATCAATGCCACTTTGAAGACGAAATCAACGCTCAGTTTCTTTCCAAGCAGCAAATGGCTCTCGATGACTGTCACTATTTTCATGGACATTTAACTTTTCAATTTTTTTCCACTCAGAGAATCCACCCTGTGTTTTGAAAGCAGACCGACTATTGGATGTCATACATGTAGATGAAAAAAGAAGACAACAAAAGCAGTATGCTGCTTTATGTAGAGGTGAATACACCAACCAGGAACGATTGACCTATTGTCTATTTAGAAGGCGTCGTTTGAACCAAATGCAGTCATAAAATGCCCATTTTTATCATCAAATGGACCTTCTTTATTTCGAAATTCATGTGCTCCAACTTTAATAATCTCTGTGCGATGTGCTTGTGTTACATCTGCTGAGCCTGTTGTATCAAACTTCATAAATCCAATATCCCTGTGTAAGATATTTAGTAGGTCATCCTCTTTTAGCTTAGTAACACTATTCTGTGGATTTGTTTCTGACAAAGTGGAATCCTCTTGTTTATTATTACTGTAGCTTTCAACAGGACAGATAACAGTTTCTTCATAGTTTTCTTTTTCAAATGAAATAGCATATTCACAATCTTGCACTTTGACCTCTTTGCTCCCATCAAAAGGAACAGATGCTGGCTTACTGGTGTCAACACTTCCAGCAAGGAACGCTCTCATCAGTTTGCTTGACTCCACCATCGAAGCTGCAAATTGTGCATGTCTTTTGTATCCCTGTGCTCCAATTTATTTTTTCAACATAATGAGGTAAAATAATAAATTAATAAATATTGACTACACTATTTAGTTGCAACATGTAAATTGTCAGATGAAAGGAAGCATTCTACTTTTCTAAGTTCCTAACCACAAATTATATTTAAAATTCTACAATTATAGTTGCAACTCGGGACTAGTTAGGCACATCTGGACCTGGTTTCACTTTAACTGCCATTATTTAAATCACCCATACTCATGTTAATTAATGCGACACAACAGTAAGAAATTAATGCAAATGTGTGTATATGCTGGTAAATCATGCTTATGAGCACCATATAAATTACTGGCAGTTGTTAAATCACATTTAGAAACTCGAATAGGTTTAACTACACAGAACACTACAGGACACAAGTCTGAAATTGCTCGAATGAAAATTACACACACTGTGGAGAAGGGTGTAATCATAACATAATATAAGCCTAGAGGCTCGAAGGCTATATTTAATATTAAAGATTTTGATAGAATGAGAAAACTTAAATATAGGCTAACTAATTAGTGGTGCTAGATTACAGTTCCTAGATTAAGTCGCTAGTACATCTAGATCTAACATTAATGTTAGACCTGTTATTTCCATCTGTTTAGTCTTAGGTTTGGATCTAGATGTAATAATAAGGACAGAAACTTAGCTTTATACATCTAAACTTGACCTTACATTTTAGTGCATAGATTGAAATGTATTGAATCTACCCA